TGAATTTTTTATACAAGAAAGCTGAGATAATTTTCTACAACTTTCATGTTTTCGAGTGGCTCCAATTTTGACGTTATCAATGATGTTTTGGGCAGACAAGAGAAGATAAAGATTGTCACTAAGTTAAGAGTTGGTCACCCACTCATCAATTAGTCATCAAATCAATAATTCCCAATTTTGGCCTATAAATAAGGCATTTGTCATGCATTTAGGCAGTCAACAAGCCATATTAGTAGCCCGATTGTAAGATTAAGATAACCTCATACATAAGAAATTGAATAAATAATGGAGGTCAACTATTAAATAAATTAAATGATGGAAGATGAAACTAAAAAAAATCAATTGAAATTAAAAAAAAAACTAGGCAACCTGAGTTAACTTGAACAACTCGCAATCTAGCACACAAGATCGAAATAACCCCATGGAAAGGAAAGCAAAAAAAATCATGAAGCTTAAGGCCAAATAACCTAATGTTGAAAGATAGAATTAAATTAAAAAAAATCTTAAAAAACCAAATTCAAATCACAAAGCAAAAATCTCAACCTTCCAAATATTGATGGATTAAATTGAAAAAACAATCAATAAAAAAAATAGCAATCAAAAGAATGAAAACTAAATTTGATATAAAAATTAAATTAAATAAAAAAATAAAAGATAAAATTGAAAAATAAAAAATCAAGAAAGGCATAAAAACATAAAATAACAATCAAAAGATTGATAACCAGAGTAGATAAAAAAAATTAAATGAAGTCAAATATTGAGGAGATGGAATTGAAAAATAAAATAAATTTTTAAAAAATTTAACAAATAAATAATAATTAAAAGAAAAGAAACTAAAATTGATATAATACAAATTAAAATGACATATTTAATATTTGAAAAAACGAACACCAAACTCAAAAGAGGAAGAAGATAAAATAATTAATATGAGCTATATTATTATTTTTTTACCTACATATGCCCTCATTATCTAGAAGATCTTGTTATGTCTCTCCTAATAGTATTATAAAAGTTAGTATTTGGTTATCGAAAAATGTTTTATGTAATGTCTAAAAATAGTTTGAAAAAGCAAACACCAAACTCAAAAAAAGAAGAGGGAGAAGATAAAATAATTAATATGAGCTATATTATTACTTTTTTACCTACATATGCCTCATTATCTAGAAGAGCTTGTTATGTCTTTCCTAATACTATTATAAAAGTTAGTATTTGGTTATCGAGAAATGTTTTATGTAATGTCTAAAAATAGTGAAAGTTGTTTATATGTTAGGGTGTGATACAGTGTTAGTTATTTTTTATTATTTAATGATATTTTATATTTATCAAAATACTAACTTGTTTTTTTTGTTAATTTAATTATAGCTAAAACAACTATAATGAAAATAATAAAAAACATTTAGATGTTAATCTTAAACATTTTATTTTTAAAAATAATTTAGTTATTGTACCATTTTTTTAAAATAAATAACTAATTTATTCAAAATCAATTTAATAATAACTAATAAATCTTAATAAAAAACTGTGATGCTCTAATAAGAAGAAGCTTAATGATTTTTTTTTTATTTTTTTTTGTGGAAAGGAGCTTAATGATTTTTTTTTATTTTTTTTTGTGGAAAGGAAAATGACATCAATATATACTCCAACACACGGTGTTATGTAATTGTGTGTGGTAAAACACCAGTGCCTCTTAGTTTTTTTTTTTTCCTTAATAATGCAGCAATTAAGTCCATGTATGCAGCAAAACACTTTTAAAAAGTAAATGTAAATTTTAATCGTAACTAATACAATTACATTAAATCTTGTCCTTTTCTTATACTTCAAACTTCTCTTTGTGCACAAGTAAAGACAACCGCTTATTTTCCTGAATGAAACATGTTTATCGCCAATTTTTATAGTATTGAACTTCTTTACAAAATATTTAGAATTTCATGAATTGAATTTAAAAATTTAAATGAAATTTCATAAATGTTAAAAATTAAATCTCTAAAAATATTATAAAAATAATTTAGAGGTCAACCCCTTTGATTTACAATTTTAAAAAGAAAAAAATTAATATTTCTAAAATACCCATCTAGCCTTAAAAAAAGGATTTTTAAAGAAATAAATTAAAGATAATGAGAAAAATATATATAAAAAAATGAGTTGAATTTTATTTTTTAAACATGTGAAATTAATTAATTAATTAATTAAATTTAAATTAAATATTTTATTTAAATTCAATTATAATAAAGAATTGATTCTATATAATCCGTTTATTAATCACATACACATGCCTTCCCTTTTCATACCTATAATTACAAAATCTATATTAATCTATAGTTTTTTTTAATTTGAAACTTAAACTGATACAAAACAAAAAATGTTTTGTTTGATTTAATTAAAATTAGGTTAGCCTAATTAAAACCTAATATTTAACTAATTTATTATTTTATTAATTTTTTTTCAAATTTGTTTTTATATATTTTTTCAAATTAATTTTTTTTTACTTGTAACCTAAACCTTGACATATAAAATTGTAGGAGGATATGTAGAAATGTATTTGAAATTGTGTTTTTTAAAAATTTAAAATTTTTATATTTTTAAACTGGGGTAAATATAAAAATTATTTTTGAAAAATAAAAAATATTATTTAAATATATTTATAAATAAAACGTACTTTAAAAATTAACAATTTCAATGCTTCCAAACACATGCTCATACCAAACATTCTTTCACCCTGAAATTAAAAAAAGAAAAAAAGAGAAGGATTACACAGTTTTATCCTGTAAAGTAAATCGAAAGTGTGGGTGCTAAACAATATTATGAATACCCTTAATTACTCAATTTCCTCGTCAAAACCCGTCCTCTTTCCCTTTCTCCTTCTTACTCACCCACCCTCTCCCTAGATTTCGTCGCCGACCCCGTCACCGTCACCGGAACCCCCTAGTGAAATCCCTTCTTTATCCCTACGCATTTCCAAGTAAGTCTCTCTCTTTTTAACTCTATGCTCACGCCTTTTGTACATTTTTACATGCATCCGTTCTTTTCGTAACAAACCCATTCAAATTTCCATGGGGAATAGAAAACGCCCACCAAACTTTATCACCAAACACCCTCCCTCGCCGTCTCCCGCGGCGGCGTCGGAAGAACCCGTCCATCCGAATTCGGTTACTCCAGAATCGGACGGTTCAACGATCAAGCAAGAGTGCGGCCGCGCCTTGAATGCGCTACGTCGCGGAAACCACATGAAAGCCCTGCGTATCATGAAGGATTCGTGTGCTAAACACGGCGGCGACGCCTTAATCCACCGTGTTCACGGTACGGTGTGTGTTAAAGTTTCTTCGATAATCGATGACCCTAACAGTAAACAGCGGCACTTAAAGAACGCAATTGATGCTGCTCGTAGAGCGGCGGAATTGTCTCCGAATTCGATCGAATTCGCTCATTTCTATGCGAATTTGCTCTACGAGGCGGCCAGTGATGGGAAAGAGTATGAAGAGGTAATGAAAGAGTGTGATCGTGCTTTGAAAATCGAGAATCCTATTGATCCTGCGAAGGAGAGTTTGCAGGAGGAGAGTCAGCAGAAGATAGCTACAGCGGAAGGGAGGATCGCTCATGTGCAAGGTGAGTTGAAAAACTTGCAACACAAGTCCAACATTGCTTCGATCTCTACTTGGATGAAGAATTTGGGGACTGGTGAAGAGATTAGGTTAATACCTATAAGAAGAGCTACTGAAGATCCAATGGAAGTTAGGCTGGTGCAAACCAGGCGGCCGAATGAGATAAAGAAAGCTACTAAGACGCAGGAAGAGAGGAGGAAAGAGATCGAAGTCAGGGTTGCTGCTGCCAGGTTGTTGCAGCAGCAGAAGTCGGAGATGGGTTTGGGACAGAGTGAGGGAGAGAGGAGTGATCAAGGAGTGGCGGTAACGCCAGGGAGTGATAGGAGAGGAGAGAGGAGGAAATGTGGGAGTAATGCGAGGAAGAATGGGACTAACACTGAGAGAAAGGACTGGGTTCGGTCCTATTGGAATTCGATGACCTTGGAAATGAAGAGGGAGTTGTTGAAAATTAAGGTCAGTGATTTGAAGGGTTATTTTTGGTCATCCAAGGATGGAGTGGCCAGTGACGTTTTGAATGAGTTGTTGGCTTACGGCTTGGAGAATAAGAGCTGGGGGTTTTGGGTGTGTTGTCGATGCAATGAAAAGTTTGTGGACGCAGATAGTCATTTACATCATGTTGTGCAAGAGCACATGGGGAGTCTTATGCCGAAGATGCAGGAAGTTTTACCTCAGAGTGCAGACAATGAGTGGATTGAGATGATTCTTAATAGCTCCTGGAAACCATTAGACATTTCCTCTGCGGTTAAGATGCCCTGGAATCAAGGGAAATGCCATAATGGAGAGCTTGGTGAGGATTTTTGCTCAGAGTACCATAATGAGGACAGTGATGATTTTTTCAAAGATGCACGGGATTCTTCTCCAGATAAGGAAAATTTGAGGGATGGTTATAACAGTTGTCCTGTGAGCAGTAGCAACTCTGACAAAGTTTACAATATTGAAGGTAAAGAAATTGATGGGAACCAGTCGTCTATTGCATACACTATTGATAGCTGGCCAATATCAGAGGATTCTGAGCGAGCGAAGCTCCTCAAAAAAATTCATGATGTATTTCAGGCACTTATTGGACATAAATATCTTGCTGCAAGCCATCTTAATAAGGTGATACAATTAACAATGGATGAACTACAGAATCTTGCTTCTGGTTCTCGGCTTCTGAACCGTGGTGTGGACCAGACACCCAATTGCATTTGCTTTCTGGGAGCATCCCAACTCAAAAAGATCCTTAAATTCTTACAGGAAATATCTCATTACTGTGGTTTGGGCAGGTCTCCCGAGAAAAGTATTGTTGTAGATGGCTCAAATTCTGGTGCTAAAGGTCCTGAAATTAAAGAGGAGATTGTTCTAAATGGTGATGAGCCTTGTCTCTGCTTGGATGAACGTTTATTGTCATTGGAATATGCTCCTAGCACATGTCCTGACAATGATGCCACCACAGCAACTTCGACTATTGCTGCCTATGGAAATGGGGTTCAACCTGACGCTGATGCTTTGCTATCATGGATATTTGCAGGCCTTTCTAGTGGAGAGCAATTGCAATCATGGATCCGTACAAAAGAAGAGAAAATGCATCAAGGTATGGAAATTCTCCAGACTCTTGAGAAAGAGTTTTACCATCTGCAGAGCCTTTGTGAGAGGAAATGTGAACATTTAGGCTATGAGCAAGCGTTGCAGGCTGTGGAGGATCTCTGTCTTGAAGAAGGTAAGAAGAGGGAGACTGACATGCTTGTTGAACATAGAAGCTATGATTCTGTTCTTAGGCAGCGGAGAGAGCAGCTTGTTGAGAATGAGCATGATGCGCCGTTCATTAGCAGTAGATTTGAGTTAGATGCTATATTAAATGTGTTAAAAGAAGCAGATACTCTGAATGCCAATCAATTCGGGTATGAGGATACTTATGGTGGGATAACTTCTCAGTTTTGTGACTTGGAATCTGGTGAAGATAGTAATTGGAGAACCAAGGACCACATGCATCAAGTAGAAACTTGCATAGAAATTGCTATCCAGCGACAGAAAGAACACTTGTCAATAGAGGTCAGTATGTTAGTTCTAGAACCACTTGTTTGGTAAAAAAGAAAATTGATAATGATCCTTGTGACTTTAAATCACCTTTATTGTTGCGCAGCTTAGCAAAATTGATGCCCAAATCATGCGGAATGTCTCTGGAATGCAGCAGTTGGAACTCAAGCTCGAGTCAGTTTCTGCCCTTGATTATCGATCAATCTTGCTACCCTTAGTGAAGTCCTACATGAGGGTTTGTATTGAGCAGTGATAAATAGGGTGTTTCTCATCTCTTGTGGTTGTAACTTTGCATATTATCTCATGCTAATCTCTCTTTTCCAGGCACACTTAGAGGATCTAGCCGAGAAGGATGCCACAGAGAAGTCTGATGCTGCAAGAGAAGCATTTTTGGCGGAGCTTGCCCTTGATTCTAAGAAGGGTACCCAAGGACGTAGTGATAATTCAAGAAATACAATAGAGAAGGGGAAGGATAAGAGAAAGAACAAAGAGTACAAGAAAACCAAGGACTCAAAGGTTTCTAATTTGTTTTTTTGGTTGTTTTTCTTTCTCTGCTGGCTTCTGACTTCGTAGAAGACATAGGCACAGTCCATTGTCCCAGTCTAATGTGTTTTACTTTGTAGGTTATTGCTGCTAGCGAGCAGCAATTGCTTCAGGATGCGACTAATGGGAGGGGGTATGCCTATCTATTTGTGGTGCTTTGCACTTCTATATTTCTGTTTCTACGATAAGTGCTTTCATTTTAATTTGTGCCATTTTGTTGTAAATGCAAATAAGTAATGCATACTACTTGTTTTTATAATGTTTTATTCATTCCTCTCTGCAGTTCCTTTCCAGATGCATCTGATGGCAACTATCCAGATTCTCAGAGTCATCTTTCTGTAAGCGATGATGATTTGAAACAACAGGAAGAGGAATTTAGATGGAAAATTGAGATTGAAGAGGAGGAAAGAATGCTAGAAAAATCTTTAGAGTATCAAAGACGAATAGAGAATGAAGCCAAACAGAAGCATCTTGCTGAGCAACAGCACAAGAAATCTAATCTAACTTTTCCAGAGAATTTGTCTGGGGGACTACACGATTATTGCTTTGATCCTGCTGCTGCTGATTCCCGTGAGCCATTGGTAAGCATTAGTTTGAGATTTATTTGTTCAAGATATTGTAAAGGGATTGAGAACCAGTGTTAGGTTCATATCCATTGGAAATGCGCTTCTTGAATAGAGAAACAGAGGTTATTCTAAGAGTTTGAATGCCGTGTTTGAAAAATTCCTATGAAATGCCAAATGTAATCTTATCAAATTTCACTTTCAGGAGCAGTTGACGCAGAAGAGGGGGTTGCCCAACAATTTAGAAGGCATGTCCATGACAACAGCCAGTGGTGGGATAGCATTATATTATAAAGTTTCTGAATGAGACTGGGGTTGGCTGTAATGTTTTTAAATGATTTTCGTTTTCTTTATTTCGCAGAGCTATCTACTGGAGGAAGTGTGGAGCGTGGTACTTCTGATCGACGGCCAGGAAGGAGAAGTAGGCGGCAGAAGAGTTCCTCTCGATCTTCTGATGGAAAAAATCAACCCATGTTATCTGAAACAGAAAATACTGAAATCGGAAGCAGTATGTGCTTATCCCCTTTGATTATTATTTTTTTATTCTTAATCAGGTGCTATTATGCATGGAAGCATGCATTTACAATGGATTTTAATCTTTTAAATTGCTTTAATCATGGTTGTGGATTTAAGATTACCCAAAGTGGATGACACATTAATTTTTTTTTTCCATCTAATTTATGGTGATATCTTTATTTCCTTCTACCTTTTTTACAATGTCACCTCACCCCATTGAAGCAGCAGCTTTAATCTGTCTATTTCTTTCTTAGATCATTTTATTGTTTACTCCAGCTTTTATTAAAATGACAATACATGGAATACTTCCTTGATGGCTATTGAAACTAAAATTTTAATCCCAAGACACGATACCCTTGGAACTATACTGATGGAATCTGCTACTAATTTTATGATTATTCAACACTTGCTTGATTATTCAACACTTGCTCATTGATAAAAGTTCGAACTCATTTACAAGAGAGTGATTCATTGAAAAACAAGGGCAAGAAAGTGCATCTACAAAATTTATTGAATGAAAAGACAATCTTCCAAATATTGCTCTATACAACTAAAGTTAATATAGAGTTTAAATCCACCTATTTAAAGTGGCAGAGAGAGGAATACTCTCCTTCAGAAGTCCTCTTGCTGCATTGCCTTGCTTGAGCCAAAGAATTGTTGAAGTAATTAAGGCTAGATTTTTCTTCCCTCTATTAGTTCTCTCCAAGCCCGCACTTCTCCTTAGTTGAGCCATTCAATAGATCCCTGGCATTGAAAAGACATGCTAGCAGAAAATCCAAGTGGTGCAAGAGGAAGTAGCGAACCACTTTTACAAAGAGAAGATGTTGTGGGTGTAGACCAAGATAATTACCCTTATTTTTAAATATGGTAATAGTAAAAAAAAAAAAATAGTGTTGATGGTGTGCTGTTCTCTTCCTGCATATCTCTTTGGAAAAATTGTTCATGACTCATGATATCATAAACAGACTAGGTTTAATTTCACATATAAAATTTGATTATGATAAACAGTATTGGTTTGTTGAATTAGGCTTATTGAGAGGTTTCTAGTTTGTTGGAGTGAAATCTGCATAACTTTATGGATTATTTGTCTGTTGTGCTAGATGTCTTCATCTGAATGTTAAGTGTAGTATACATTTTGCTTTTTAGTTGTTTAACATTCTCTTCTGCCCTTGCACTTTGCTGGGCTGGGATTTTTAATTATACTCTCCAAGATATAGTAGTTGTGTGATGATCGCTTTGGCCTCGCACTCTGCTTGCTTGCTTGCTTTGTACTAAGGACTTCCTTACATGCTTGTCAGCCATTATACCATGAGCAATTTTCTGGTTGATTATCTACATGTTGTACCTAATTTTATATGGTTTTCCATATGTTCAACCAGGTACTTCAAATTTGGGAGACAGTGCAACTAAGACACTGAGACAGTTAAAAGTAGAGGAGGAGGATGAGGAAAGGTTTCAAGCTGACCTTGAAAAAGCCATGCGCCAAAGCCTTGGTAAATTTCTTTTGATCATTTGCTTGCTTTCATTTTACTTCACTAGATTTTATGATTGTTAGCTATACCAACTAGATGAGCCTTAAGGGAACATGATATACTGTCTTCGTTGGATGCCCTTTGTCCCTTGAAACTCCACTTCTCTACCAATTGTGCTTTTCAATCTTCTTTGATTTTGTAGACTTCTATTTAAAGCTCAGATAACTTTTTATATAAGAGGATTTCTGCATCTAGGTTTAAACCCTGCAATTATATATATATATATAGACAGACACACACACACACACATTCTTTTGATAAAGGATATAAATCCTGTAATAGATTCTGAATTTATGTATTATGCTTCTTTAAGGTTTTTTAACATCATTGTATTCAGAAATTGTATAATTGCATATATTCAACTTTGTCACATGTATATACATGTCCCATTTTTTTATATATATATTTGTATATATATTCTTTTGATAAAGGATATAAATCCTGTAATAGATTCTGAATTTATGTATTATGCTTCTTTAAGGTTTTTTAACATCATTGTATTCAGAAATTGTATAATTGCATATATTCAACTTTGTCACATATATATACATGTCCCATTTTTTTTTATATATATTCTTTTGATAAAGGATATAAATCCTGTAATAGATTCTGAATTTATGTATTATCTATGCTTCTTTATGATTTTTTAACATCATTGTATTTCAGAAATGGTAGAATTGCATATATTCAACTTTGGCCCGCATATATAATTCTTATTCATCTAATTATTTTAATGGCAAGTTCAGCTTCCTGTGCCAAAAATAAAAATTTGCACTTTGTTTCTGTTTTAGTCAACTAAATCAAAAATTGGTGTCACATGTGGGTCAGTCTATCCCCAGGCGTTATTTGCCATGGAAGATATTGTTGTATTTGGTTCTGCCCCTGCCCATTTGGTTCAGGATATAATTTCTTTGAGAATAGAAACAAGATGTTCTAACAACAAAACCTAGAATTTTATGGAGAACTTCTATGTTCACCAGAATGGGTTCATCTACAAAACCTAGATTAGCTCTATGTATACAGGAGGAATGGTGTCTCCAGCAATCTATTTTAAGTGAATTTCTTTACTTCTTTCACATACATTTCACACACCACTACAAAAAGAAGGCCATAAGGCTTCCTCTGTTTATTGGGTTGATTGGCTTTGTCAAATAATCAAGATTATATGTTTTGTTTACTTACCTAATTATTTGCTGAAAAGAGAATGGTTTCACATTTAATTTGCCCCCCTGGTTGGGTTTCTGGGTATGCTACTAGTCACACTAGGGAGCTGGGATGTGAGTTACTTGATTAATTAAAAAAATGATTTTCTGAACTCAACCGTGCATTTGTAATTTTTGCTAGCTTATGTAAAATAATAGTTATTATTATGTTAGGGTATGTGTTGGCACTGTACCAGTCAGGTTTAGAAAATTATGTGTGGCTTTATTCTGAGGTGGGCACTATGAGCATCGAGGTCAAACAAATATTTTATTCATATGATGTGATTTTGCAATATTGTCTTACTCAATATCTAGCCATCCCTCATCTTACTGAATCAGAATCTCGAATGGGTTCTGACCTAGTCTTTAGATCAGTTGTTTGAGTTTAGTTGAATCATGCCAGGTAGCATTTTCCTTAGGCAAATGAATGAATTTACCATCATGTTCAGTGCATCTTTTCCTTTCCCTAATCTCTGAAGTGAAGTTAAAAACGTAATTTGTATCCATTTATTTGAAACTCTATTTAATCTATTTGCATTGATTTTCCAGACACATTTCAAGCAAATCAGAAGATACCAATGATGTCAAGTTTGAAGCAAACAATTTCTTGTGAACTTGGTGATTCTGGTGCTTCACCATATGAAGTAGCAACTGTAAATGTGGATGGAACTGATGTATTTGGCACTGGCTTGAAGAATGATATTGGTGATTACAATTGTTTTCTGAATGTTATCATACAGGTATTTTGAGCACAATGCCATCTCTGCTGTTTAACTATTCTATTTATATATGCTTTTCATTGCTATTTCACCATTTAATCTGCGCTTTTCATTTCACTATCCAGTGCCTAACTGTTTCTAGTTACTTCTTTTATAACTTCAGTCCTTGTGGCATTTAAGACGGTTTCGAGATGAGTTCTTGAGTAGATCACGATCAGAGCATGTTCATGTGGGAGATCCATGTGTTGTTTGTGCCTTGTATGATATTCTTACTGCTATGAGCATTGTATCCATGGATACACGAAGAGAAGCAGTTGCTCCAACATCATTGAGGATAGCTTTGAGCAACTTGTACCCTAACAGTAATTTCTTCCAGGAGGTAATTTTTAAGAACTGTGTTTGGCCCCTATGGTTTTCATAACTTTTTACTTAACTGTGATTTTTCATCACTCACCCTTTACAATGCAAGAATTTGTATATGAGGATGTCTTTGCTGAGTTAGTTGGAATTGAATTTACAGGGACAGATGAATGACGCATCTGAAGTTTTGGCTGTGATATTTGACTGCCTTCATCGAGCATTTACCTTTGGTTTGCATGGTACTGATTCTGAGGCAGTGGAACACAGTGGCATGGAGTCTTGGGAATGTTCAAAAAAGAATGCTTGTATAGTGCACTCTCTTTTTGGAATGGACATTTCAGAACAAATGAATTGCCAGAGTTGTGGTGTGGAGTCTAGACACCTGAAGTACAGTGCTTTCTTTCATAATATAAATGCCAGTGCCCTCCGAGCAATGAAGGTACATGTTGCTGCTAAACAAATTTTATGCAACCATTTATTTCTCGTTACTTTGGTTTTTTTATTTCAATTTATATGGTGTATTAATTTACTTTACCCCTTGAATATTTTTTTCTCTTTCCTTCCAGGTCATGTGTGCTGAAAGCTCTTTTGATGAGCTTTTAAATCTTGTCGAAATGAATCACCAGTTAGCTTGTGATACTGAGGCTGGTGGTTGTGGGAAGCCCAATTACACCCATCATATTCTTTCAACTCCGCCACATGTTTTTACAACAGGTGAATGTTTTTCTGAATTGTTTAGAGATTTTTGCTTAGTGAGAGTGGCACACTCTTTTAGAAACCCAAAATTATGTACATCTTTGTCCTGCAGTTCTGGGCTGGCAGAAAACCTGTGAAAGCATTGATGATATAACAGCAACATTGACAGCTCTAAATACTGAGATAGATATCAGTGTTTTTTATCGTGGTCTGGATCCAAAGAACATTCGTAGCTTGGTTTCAGTGGTACGTAAAGTTGACAGACCATTTATCATAGCTTGGATTCAGTCATACATAAATTTGACTGACCATTTATCATGTTATCTTGATGGAGATATTGATATTCAAGACTTTACATATGCAGTTAATTAGGAAAGATTGGTTTGGTTGTTCTGTTAAATCATGCCCGAAGGAAGGATGAGTTTTTTATACTAGTGTGAAAGATAAGTACTCAAAAATACTAAAAGTGACAACATGCAAGCACCAGTTTGCTAGAGACAACAGGAGAAAGATATAAAAATCAAATGCATCAACTGAAACATGGGAAACCTTGAGGTTGTAGTTGTTGAAAATTTCATAACTTGTGGAAAAATTTAACTAGAAAGCACAACTGTGGAAAACATGTTTACCAATTAAAAATGTTCTCTGATTTTTTGAAAACAAGTATTTTATACTTTTTGAGTTTCATCGTTAAATGAAAACTACAAAGAGTCACTTCACAAAATTTTCTGCTTTTAAACGAAGGGCCCTGTATTCATCAATTTCTTTTTTTTTCTCCTTTCTTTTGTTGTCTTAAATGCAAACCAAAGGAGGCCTTGTTTTCTATTTTAGAAAACTAATGTTTAGTAAATGTGTCATGTTATTTTTCCATGGAGAAATATTTTCAAAATACAGATGAATTAGAAAGCTGTTTTCTGAAAGCAAATACACCCTAAGTGTTTGATTAGGAAGATAGATGTGGCTCATCAACTAAAAAAAGAAACAAAATGACTATATGCAAGCTGTGCATTTTTATGGCAGCTCAAGAAGGAATCAAATTAAACTCTTTATTGGGAACACTGGAGAAAATTCTATAGGGGGGGGGGTATTAGAAGAGCAGTAATTGTTTTTTTATTTTTATACTGGAATATTCTTGCTACTTCTGCTTATTTCTGGATGTCTGATTTAGTCATTGGTTGCTGGGATATGAATTTGTACTATAATCATTCCTCATGATCCTTGTATCATCAGGTGTGCTACTATGGGCAACATTATCATTGCTTTGCCTATAGTCAAGATCATGATCAATGGATTATGTATGATGACAAGACTGTTAAGGTACTTCTTGATTTGTGTCTGGCCATTGTTTTATCTGCTATCTTGTCTTACAATTTATTGTTTGATTAATAGGTAATTGGTAGCTGGACTGATGTTCTTACCATGTGTGAAAAAGGACACTTGCAACCTCAGGTTCTATTCTTTGAAGCTGGAAACTAGTGATTTTGGAGGAATTTGTGGAATTATTTGTTGACCCCGAGAGCATCAAGTTTACCATGGCTTGCCATTTTTGTAGTGAGGAGTTGTTTATAGTAATATAATGCAATTGAACCCGATACTGCAGCATTGGTTTTGAAAACAATAAGTTTTTGACAGGAGAGACGCGGCATGTAATCAACAGTCTTATGATACAGTCGGCGGTTTTTGTAGGGAAAACGTAATTTGTGCAGGGAAAAACCATGTATACTTTTGTGCAGGGAAAAACCATGTATCAAGAGAGATTTTCTTTTACATGAAGAATAGGTTAACAGAAGAGCTTGAAGGGTACTTTTTGGCACCCTTGAATCTGAATATTTTTGTCAGGGTAATTTGGGTTTCTGTCCATGGAATTTTCGCATGGGATGGTGGCTTGGTACATGAAGAGCAGTAATTGCTTGGTTGCTGGGAGCATATGCATTGAAGAACCCATATGATACCATAATGCAGTGGCTAATACTGTCCAGTTGTGGGCAGAAGCATATATTGTGAAAGTTGTAAGCGGGGAATTTCTGGTAGATGTAGTTTTTCCCTTTTTTTCAAAAATTAGGATTCCCCTTTGAAGAGTTCTTGTATAGATCACATCTTGATCCTAGCTTCAACACTAAATCTGCCGCTTATGGTTATTGTTTATGACCTGCATAATGCATGATGTGCTATGATGCTGAATTTTCTATTGCTGATTTTTGTTTTTAGATACCTTGCTGGATATAACTTGCACCAATATATATATTATATATATATGATGATAAATGCTGCCAGAAACTTGGCCGAGCACGACTCAATCTTGCTGTGATCTGATGGAATTTATACTTTCTGAATTCATAAGATTCCGCGTAGTCTCTCTCGATCTCTTCTTTATTTATGGAGATTCTGCTGCAGTAGAGGATTGAACTCTTTTTGTGCTCTGGTGTGTTTTAACTTGTAATACTCTCTTTCTGGAATGTATTTGTGACTTATGGATGTGATTTTTTATGGATGTGATGACAACTATGTTTTTCATGTGTATTAGATTTTTTTTTTTTTTTGTAGTTTTCTTGTGTAAATGTATATATTTAATATTTTTTAAGAAATTGATTGAATGATTCATAATTAGAAAATACAAATGTTATATATATATATATATAGGAACTCCTTAAAAGTTATCTTCATAGACTTTGTATATTTTTCTTAAGCTTAGTTAAAAATTTAAAAAGCATTCATGTATTTCATGCCTTCGAAAAATTAGAAATTGAGTTTCAATTTTTCTTGCAATGTATGTAAATAATTATTTTAATTAAAGAAATTATATTGTCATTTTTATTTAAAACTAAAGTTATTTAAAATATATAATGATGATGAATATAATCAAATAAAATTAAAGATATTATCAATCTCAATCTAAATTAATTTTAATTTTTTTTCTTTATCAATAAAAAAAAAAGATAGAGTCATCATTTAGTATTTTGATCATTAAAAATTTAAATTGGTTTTAGAGTTTGGATAAAATAACTAATTGTGTATTGTGTATATGGAGAAAATATCACTCCTAGTATATCTTACTTAACATAAGTTACATTATTTATTTATTGGAGTCATGTTTTTATTTATTGGTTTGTTTAAAGTTTAAAAAATATTTTTCTTAGTAAATTTTTTTTTATTTTATCATGCTAAAACCTAATCATTTTAAAGCCTAAAAAATTAAAGGTGCATTCTTGTCAATTCATTTAGTTTAATATCAGGAATATCTATTATATTGTAAAATTCATACCCAAAATATTAATTAACCAAATTGATTTTTATGGTGTTTTTTTTTTATTTTAAATTTTGATAAAATTCTAATGAATACTCACAAATTTTTTGTGATACTCATCAATTGGTTTTTTTTTTTCAAAGTAGGATAAGAATGCAATTTTTATTTTTTATAAGATACGCATGAAAGAAAAAAATTATAATTTGACCTTATACACACAAATAAAAAGTATTTTTATATTCTTTCTAAATAAAGAATTTTTTTTATTTTTTTTATCTTTTTTGAAATTTTGAAGAAAAAGTAGGTATCTTTAATATCAGGTTAATATCTTATATTGTAAGTCTAATGCCTCAATATTAAGTGAAATGGTTGGAAAAATATGCAAGGGACCTATAAAAAATTTTAAAATGGTCCTTTAAATTTTTTTAGAATTTTTTGGAAATTATTTGGAGTCTATTTAGCAAAAACACAAAAATAAAAAAAAATATTGCTGAAAATAAATTAGTATGGTAAAAAAATAAAAAAAAATAAATATTGCTGAAAATAAATTAGTATGGTGTGTTTGCAAAATACACCTTTAACAAAAAATCAGAAACTAAAACAATGTTTTTAGACCGTGTTTAACAAACACACCATAAGAACAAAAAAAATACATTGTTTTTCTTTAATAAACAATAAACAAGCCAAACACTGCCTTATAGAGAATTGATTCGGCCCAACCACGGGGAATAAGCTTCCTAGCCCAAAGGCTCAAGCTCACAAACAAAGTTTAGCAACACAAATAAAAATTAGAAGATCAAACAAGATTTTTGGCTTGAAAAACACAAAGATAGAACCATAAATGTGATTTCAAAAACAAAGCAAACTATATTCAATTGAAGGCAAAGATATATGTAAAATCAACATCGAAGCAAGATGTTGGACCTGGATCGTCACAATAATCAAATAAAAGTCATGATTGTTTGATTTTATTCATAAAATAAAAAATAAAAAATAAAACAAAAGCCATTAAATCAATATTTTTAAGCCATAAAAACCTTAAATTAAAGATTAACAAACATGAACGTACATGTAAAAACCATAAATTGACCAAAATGGTACTAAAATCAACGACCTAAAGCAAAGTTCACGATAAGAACATCAATCTAGAAAAGCTTATCAAAACTAGAAATGCCCAACAAATACAAAACCCAGAAAAAAGGAATCAAAGGTTTAGAAAACAATATGTAACCAAAGCTTAAACATGCTCAAAACAAGAAGAAACAAAGAATTAAAGGTCAAACAATAAGCAAAGCTAACTAAAGACAACAAGAAAAAATAACTTTTCCTTAGACAAAAACACTATTATATTAAATAAAATCATTGTCTTAAATCTTAAACAATATGTCTATAACTTCAGCAAACCTAACACACTAACTTAAAACAACCTAAACCATAACAATTTCAATATCTATAACATTTTGCTAAAACATTGAAAAAATTATTAGCCTAACATCAAAGCTTGCAAAACATTATTTTATACTAGCATTTAACACTTCAGTCAATAAATCTAATCATTCAACCAAGCTTCAAATAAAAATTACACATATTAAATCATGTCATAACTAATCATTTGAAAAAGATCAAATAAAGCATTAAATAAATCAAAACTAACAAATAGTTGAAAGAGAAATCTGTAATGAACATCTAACAAGCAGAAAAAAAAAAGGAGGAGTATGTTTGAGCTTTACCCCTTATTATAAAAGAGAAGGAGTATGTTTGAGCTTTACCCCTTATTAAAGTTTGGGGAATACCTTAACAATATTGCTTTATTTGCTTGGAATTTCTTCCTTAAAAAGTAGGTGATTGTGAAACCATCTGTGGGTTTAGTAGTGGTTTTTCAAAACTAAATCATATGAGATTCTTTCTTATTTTTTGCCTCTGATATGTTAGGAGATAATTTTCCTCTCTTCTTATATTTTTATAATCCCTAAATGTCTAACAAACTTTTAGAGATTTTAGAAAAAGTTGAGAGCTTCATACCTAAAACTTGGCTAAAAATGATTGACTAGATATGCACTTTTCATGAATTAATCATGGCAAATGATAACAGACTAAGGCATAGATCTTATAGAGAGGGTGTTATTCTTCAACTAAGACCAAATCATGATTGATTTGATGTCCTATAGCTTTCTCACCATCGATCCAAAGTTGAGTGTAACATTGCTGAATTTGGCTAAATCAAACAAGGCTGTCTTGGGATAAGAAGTTTAGGGTTTTTAAGTGGCGAGTAGGGCATAAACGTCTAAAAAGGGTGACATAAACTTGTATAAGGGAACCTCCTTTATCAAATGGTGGGGGTTGGAGCCCCTAAAGTAGTCAAAGATGCCACATTCATTCACCTAAATATGATAACTCAATGAGCTTTCTTGGATAAGGAAGACAGTAAAACAGGGAAATGCAACATATCACTCAATCTTTTCATTAAAAATAAGTGACAAGTCATCTACTTAAACCCTAAAAATTAGAGCTTTTTAAATACAATTTTGATAAATTTTAATATGGTCATTGTTATTTCAATTTGATCTCAAACATCCTTAATTGAGACAACTAACTAGTTTTATACAATTAGACCCTTACTGAAAATCTTGAGATGCCTTAAGTCTGATGCCTTTTACAAAGTAGTTGTTGTCTTCTAATTTGTTCAATTTAGTTCCTAATAAGTCTTAAACTTTGATTTTCTTCAATTTAGTCCTTAGAAAAGTTTGATACAGCCCCCAATATTGCCCATCTTCTGCACAAAGGTCCTTGGTCTTGAATCCTTTCAATTTAACCCTCATTTAGCCTTTAAACTTTAAATTTCTTGTAAATGAACCTCTGATTGTACTAATTTAGTCTTCCAAAGTTTGTATTTATGATTTTTAAATATGTATTTAATAAAATAATTTTAAGGATTCAAAATTCGGTTATGAAAATAATATTTAAACTATACTTTTTACAAATCATTTTACTTAAAAGAGTTCTTTTTATTATATGTAATGTAAATTTTAAAGATATAAGTGCAAATAAAGCTTTTGTGGTATCTTTAGATTACCAAGTTTTTTTTTTTCCAATATTAATAGAGTTTGATCAAAAGTAAAAACCCTTTTAGCAAAAATAGTAAAAAATAACATAACACAATAACTAATAATCTCTTTAAGAAATAATTAAGATCTTGTTAAAAAAATAAAGAACAACTAAAAACATATATATTCAAAATAAAACTTAAAAGAAAAATTCATACATTTTTCTATATATGTTTTTCAATCCTTAGAATACACGACAAGTAGTCTATTCATAGAAAAACAAAATAAGAACATTAAAATATACTAGGATATCTAAGTGTCATGGAAAACTAAGAAACTAAACTCAAAAGTCATGAAGTCTAAGAAATTCTAATGGACATTCAATATATATAATTATAGAGCTTATAACACTTCCCCTTAAATGAAAATGTACTAAAAATGTGTCTCATTAAAACCTTACAAAGAAAAACCCAATGCAAAAAATTCTAAGCAAAGGAAAAAGAGTACAATATTTGTGTGATTTTTTAATATTTCAGAATTCAATGGAATGTTTAATAGAGATACTTCAAGATCCATATTTGAATACTTCAAGATTCATAAAAATCCTAAATTGCCTCATTAAAACCTTGCTAAGTAAAACTCAATGGGAAAAACATAAGCGAAGGAAAAAGTGTACAACTTGCATTAACTTCACCTTAAAAGTACATGTCTTATTATAAATCTATAAGATGACGCATTTCAATATTATGGACAAGCTCCTTGAAAATCGAGGCCGGTAAAAACTTTGTAAATAAGTTTGTTATGTTATCACTTGACCTGATTTGCTTGATATCAATTTTTCTCTTATATTGAAGCTCTTGAGTATAAAATAACTTTGACAAGGTATGTCTTGTTTTGTCTCTTTTAATGTAGCCTGCTCCAAG